TGATTTGATGAACAATAGCCCAGTCCTCTGAAGCTCGCACATCTGGTGGTCTCCATTTCCTCATAAGCACACCATTTATAAAAAAATGACTATTTGGAATTTTCTTCAGTTCATCTTTTGGAAATGTGTGTTTAAATAGTGAAGTGATCTGCAAATCTTTTTCTCGTTCAGTGATCAGTTTACTTTTACTAAATGGAACTTCACTAGGTGAATCAGATCCTTCACGTCCATTGTTGTCTCTCACCAAGGTATTGTCAGTAGGATGATCATTCACGAGATCCCTATCCTATCAAAAAATGTCTGAGACAAATCTATAGTATCATCCTCTGAATCCATGCTTATCATTTGTTTTTGGCTAAATTTTTTAGCCAGAGCTCGAGTCATTGAACACAAGGGAAACACATTGGGATTCTCCTCAACTACAATATCATCCTTAGATGAAACGGTGATCGGCTCACTAACCATTTTAGGTTTGGCAACAAAAATTGTCTGGGACAACTCTATAATATTGTCCCCCGATTCCATGTCTATCCTTTGCTTTTGGATTAATTTCTTAGCCTGATCTCGAGTCACAGAACATGAGGGAAACACATTGGGATTCTCCTCAACTACATCATCATCCTTAGATGAAACAGTGATCAGCTTGTTAACCATTTTAGGTTTGGCAACAACTTTTTTCCCAGCCAAATCATTTCCCAACAATAAAGATACACTCTTAATTGGCAGAGTAGGTCTTACCCCAATTACAACTGGTCCCGAAACTAGGTCTAATGCTAAATAAATATTATGAATGTCTAAATTCCTCCCTGATTACATCAACCTTTATATCAGTGGCCATATCAACAATATTGGGTGATCTGGTGAAACTATGTCCATATATGGACACAAATGCACTGGGTGTTGCCTGCTTTTCTTTCTTCTTTTTCAAACCCCAACAATCGGACATAACATGACCAGGTTTTTTACAGAAATGGCAGACAGGCCTTGATTGTTTTGAAGAAGTTTTATCCTGAACTAGACAAGCTGGATTTTTTGGAAGAATCCTCAACTTTAGTGGATTGAACAGTTGCCAATATGCATAGAATTGCACCATCAATCAAAATAAAGCTCTTTTTTTGTGGGCAAATTCCATATAAATTTGATTATCTTGTTTGTGATAACCTTTAAACGTTTGGCGATAAGCCTCCGGTACTAACTCGTATGCTTTGAGAATAGCTGCTTTAACCTTACCATAATTAGTACAATCTTCTAGAGAGAGAGCAGCATAAGCTTCTTGCGCTTTACCAGCTAAGACACTTTGTAATAATAATGACCCTTTTTTGGTGGGCCATTCCATGGTTTGGGCAACCTTCTCAATGTTGGAAATATTTATCAACTTCATTTTCATTAAATGGTGGTACTTTAACATATCGATTAAGCTCAAAGTTATCATTTTGCTTTGTTCGATCAATGTTGAGTCTAATTTCCATTTCTTTCAGCCTCAATACGAGCTTGTTCGTTCTCGGCTTCAATACGAGTTCATTCGCTCTCTTTCTCGGCTTCAGTATGAGCCTGTTCAAGTTCATGTTGTTTCAGCTTTAGCTGGATCTCTAACTTATCTTTATCACTCAACTACAACTGGCTAGTAGGGACACTAGAGTGTTCCTCTAATGCTTCCTCCGGCAACAAATTATCATCTACTAGTATTTCGATAATACCCTTTTTAGTTCATTTTTTCTCATTCATCTTTTAACTTCTAGTTCTAGAACTTTAGCAATTTTGAGCATTTTTGTTATATTTTTCTAACAGTCTTAGGGAAGGTGGTACAAGAAAATCTTGATAATCCGACATGATCAAATCTTGTTGGCACTGATCAATATAAATTCAATTTAGATCAAATTTTGTCTCTGATTCAAATCTTGAACATGAGCCCCAAATTTATTATGTTATGTATTGAGAATTTGAAATAATCCAAAGTTGCATTAAATAATTTAACTTTTAATAGTTGAACTGTACTCTGAATTTAGTGTTTAGAAATATGCCGATATTTCATTTAATTTACGCTATTTACCAACAAGATTGATTCACACCGTTTTTGTTTTGACACATACGTTTTAGTATATATATACAACAGTATAAATTACAATGGCAACTATTACGATTAATTATTACCAACCACGTTTCATAAACTGAAATTTCACTAACTTACAAATAGCCTAAAATGGTCTTCCTAGTTCAAAGTCTCCTTGATATCCAGCGAGTTAATTTGAAGTCAATGTACATACAATTAGCTAGCTTTGTCAGGCACTGAATTATTCGAAACAAACGTTGAAATTAAAATAAATATATAACAAATTCGTTATACACAACACATATCTGATACTACAAGTCATGCATATTTCTTAATACAAATTCAATCAAACATCGTTCATATTAAAAATAAATACATAATAATAAATGTGTTACATATTTATTATTATAAAAGTAACTAAAATATAAAAATTATATACTTATCATAAGTAATTTTAAATGAAATAAATAACCAAAATACTTGTGATCAATGACAGCGTGTGATAGTTCAAGCACCTTTGTGTAATTCAACACTAACATGCTGGTAACTCAATCTGTAGTTCACACAAAGCTGACCAGCATAATAAACAGCTATCACCATATTCTGAAAGGGTCAAAAGAAACTACATGAAAAAACCAGTTAGCTTAGGCTGTAAGAGTAAATACTGTATAATTGTCTATAACAATGTGCACATGCATGTTTTTATAGTAGTTACAAGGTCAGTCAAATTGAGTCTGTAGAGTCAGAGAAAATAGCAGGTGGAATATAGTTTTGCTGAAAAAAAAACCAAAAAAAAAAAAACCTTTGCTATTCATTGGGGGGGGGGGGTTGATAATAAGGTTGGAAGTCACTCTCCTAGAGTATTAATAAAATATGTCTGATTCAACATAGATTTGATAATTAAAAGTTATCTGAACTATGTATGTATTTAAAACATTTACAAGCATGATTATTTACCCCTTATAGCAATGCTTTGCAAAACAAATAACTTACAATAAAAACTAATTTTAATAAAATTGGTTAAAGAAGTTTCTTTTGTGACATCATTACCTTACATGTGTCAGTCTTAGTAGGCAAAACTAGAGTACACATATCTATGAAAAAAATGATTTTCAATACTTAGAAATATTTGTCATGCTTTTTAATATGTGTTTATACTAACACTATTTTATACTATAGTTATTTTATACTAATTGTTTATACTATTAAGTCAGAAGACCTTGAATTCTAATTCAGGACCAAGCATGCTAATCATTAACCACATCCAGCCCAAGCTTTTAATCAAATAAATTATTTGTATTTATGTGTTCCATTTATGTTCTATAAAATATAGCTGTTGTGTGCAAATTAACTGACAGTAGAGTTTTTTTATTTAACTCTCCCAACATGGGGTTGGTCAAATTGAAAATAGAAACCTGCTGAAAATAAAGCAACAAATCACTGCTTGTTTCATTAGACTGTTTACGTGACACTGTAATTAAAAGCAACAAAGCATGCACAAAGAAATAAGCTGACTTGACTCCTGTTTTAAGAACATACAAATTTATCAGCTTATGTATCCTACAGTGTTTACAGAGTAATAATATTGCACTTTGAATCTGTGAAAATGTTTATTATATGGTTCAAAGCCAATCCAATAAATATCACAAAAGTTTGAAAATTGGTCATCTATCTGCGATGTTTGGAATTAAGCAGAATACCGTATAGTCATACAAAAATATTATGTGTTCATGTTTATAAAATCCCATTTCCCTTTGAGCAATCTTATTCATCAACCAGTAAATACTATTAATTCACAAGTGCTTAAATCTTAGTTATTTTTATTAAAACACAGAAGAATAAGACAAAAAAATTAAAAAAAACAACAACAAAGATTTCAAGTACTTGCAGTGTTATGATATTTTGTGCTCATGCACATGCATAGTTAGTGCTAAACCTTGCTGTAAGCCTCATTTATTCTTCTGAGTGGAGGGTAAAGAGTTATTAATTTTTGTAGGCTTCAAATATAAATTTTAGAAAACAAAATAATTATCAAATTACAATATTAGTGCACACAAAACCCCTGTAATTTACCTGATTTCTAAACAAGCTATATATGACCTTAAAAAACCTTGTATCTGTTCAGAGTCATCACACTTCAACAGTTTCAGCAAAATTATGTCTTTCTCCTTCAAGCTATTTACAAAAGACTCAGATTTACACACACACACAGGAAACTATTCTTTCTCTTGGTAGTAAACACTTAATCAAAAGAAATAGGTGGAACTAGACAAGAGATTTCAAAAGAATGGAGTAGTGGGAGGAGCCACTCTAGTAGATTAGCTAAATATATTGACATCTCAGCTAATCAAAGGGTGGGAGGTTATTTTATATTCTAGCTTATCTATATCTCAAATTTGAGTTTCTAATTTGTTAACCACTGTACATGTTGTATAATAGGCATAATAAAATATAAACTGAGCAATAAGACAATAGGAGGTGCTATGTGACTAACAAAAACTGATTTTTAGCATTTTTTCTTTATCTTTCCTTTTAAATTAAGAAATTAAAACACATGTAATATTAAAATTTGAATTATACACTGTGTTTTGATGTCAATTCCACTGACACAGATAATAGTAAAGTTATTTAATAAAATTTTGAAAATAACTCTTTAGATGGTCATGACATGCAGTCTTTAACCTGCCCACAGCAATAGGGTTAAAAATAATGAAATCCTTACCTTATTCTTTTTTCGTATGTGACGCGTGCAAGTAATATAAATGTTCACTGGGAAATCACACGTCTCAAACATCACACCTGCTGCATGTGCACACGTTACATGAAAAGCATTTATACATTTTCCAGATGAACACTGGATGCATACTCCACTATTGTGTCCATACAAGCCACTAATCCTTTTACAATATGAGCACCTCTAAAAAATCAAACACAAGAATACAGAAACTATCAACTTCTGCTGAAACAAGAATGACACAATACTAAGGGAAATAAAACAAGAAAAAATAACACTTTTTTATTTGGAAGGGAAATCTTACATTTTTGTCATTCTAACAGTTTCCAAATTCACACTTTTGCATTTCATTATAATTTTATAAGCTCACAATTTTTGTAACCTGAGAAACCAGTAACAGCTGTATTAAAGCAAAACACTTAAGATTTGAAACATCCTACCAATTTTGCACGTTCTTGTGTAATTCGAGTGACATTAATGGGTTCTTTTGTATAGATATCTTCAAAAACAACTTCTGGAATCAGAAGAGTGCACAATATATGTGCCCATCTTCCATCTGTTGTAGGCTTCAATGCTCCACCCCGTAAACTGCATAAACAACATTCCTTTGGGAAAGTGAAAACAAAATCATTTCACAAAATATCAGCTTTATTTCTATTAATACAAAATATTATGTTCATGCATTAAAATATTTATAATTCTCCAGTTCTAAAGCATCAGCAAATAAATTAATTGTTTGTTCTTTAGTATTGTTTTTAAACTAAGTACAGCAAAATCTTTATTAACTTAAAAGTAAACCTAAATATTAGATGCACTACTTTGTTACATATCTATAGTTAGTATACAAGAAAGACGAATGTGTGGTAAAATGCTGGCATAAGAAATTATTTACAAGTACCTTACACCCTCTAGTGACTAATAATATTAAAGAAGAGTCTATCTCCTACAAAGCTCTTGCTCATTCTAGTTTATAACAAAAAGTACTTATAAATGTAGAAGTAGATGTTGAAATTGTAGAAAGTTATATGTGGTAATGGTTTTGTTTAACTCACTACATCAACATTCTGTTTTTCACATCGTCGACATCTCCATGATTCACTGGGTACAGAGATCACCCCATAACAAGCTGAAAACACATTATAAAGGAATCATCAATAATTAAATACAATAACAATTTACATGGCATTAAATCTTCCATGTTAAACTACACATGTTGAATACAAAAAAACAAAAAATAAAACCATTATTATTGTTGAATACAAAAAAAAACAAAAATAAAACCATTATTATTACAAGCTTTTACAAATTATTTTTTCTTACTCATTCAAATTAAAATACTTTTATACACAGCGTGGTCACAAGTAAATAGACACCACCTTTTCCGAAAAAAAATGAAATTTTTCAGTCATATTCACATGAATTGATATATTCATAATTTAATTAATATCTAGTAGATCTCCTTTCGCTTCATGCAGGATCCTTTGGGGCATCGTGAAAATCATCTCATCAATTTTAGATTGTGGAATTTTCGCTCACTCTTGCTTCAAAATTGGAGTAGATCACTCTTCGAAGTTGGTTTTTTTGGTTGTTTCTTGGCTTGCCGGTCGAGTATGACCCAGAAGTTTTCGATGGGGTACATGTC